AGATAGATAGATAGATAGATAGATAGATAGATAGATAGATAGATAGATAGATAGATAGACAGACAGACAGACAGACAGACAGACAGACAGACAGACAGATACAGATAGATAGACAGAGATAGAGAGAGATAGAGAGATAGAGAGATAGAGAGATAGAGAGATAGAGAGATAGATAGATAGATAGATAGATAGATAGATAGATAGATAGATAGATAGATGATAGAGAGAGAGAGAGAGAGAGAGAGAGATAAATAGATAGATAGACAGACAGACAGACAGACAGACACAGATAGATAGATAGATAGATAGATAGATAGATAGATAGACAGACAGACAGACAGACAGATACAGATAGATAGACAGAGATAGAGAGAGATAGAGAGATAGAGAGATAGAGAGATAGAGAGATAGAGAGATAGATAGACACAGACAGACAGACAGACAGACAGACAGACAGACAGACAGACAGACAGACACCAGCAAAGCTGGCTGGGGAATTCTGGGAGTTGAAGTCCGCCCATCTTAAAGGGGCCGCGGTTGACAGATTTCTGGGCTCTGAGAATCACTTTGGGAATTGCCAGCTCGCTAGGCCCCTCCGTAATGCCGCCCTCTGCTTCCCTTCCAGCCTCCCGCGATGAGTTTTATGCCAACCCGAAACTGGACGGTAAGACTGGGAGGGGGGTCCTAAAGACGGCCTTTGCCCACCCTGCTGCTGCTTTCTTCTGCTGGAGGGGGGGGCATGCAGGATGGCGAGGTGCAATCAGACTCTGCCGGTGTTTGTTGACATCCAGCTGGCTGCCCCCGCCTTGCTTTTTCTGACGTGCCCCAGAGGTCAACCCCTTTAGGGCTGAGCTTTTGGGGTCTCACTCGCCCCCCTCTCTTCTACTGCCTTGCCCCCCAAACTCACCCTCCCGCTTCTTCCTGCAGCTGTGGCTAAGGTGATGCCAGCCAGGGACCCCTGGCAAGGGTCCAGCGTGGCTTTTGCCATCTTCCTCCCGGTGGCTGTCATTGGGTTCCTTCTGGGCACCGTCTACCTGTACGTTTCCAGGTGAGCGGCGGTGGCTGGGTGGGAGAGCTGACCGGACGGGGGGGTACACAGCCCCCCCGTCACATGTCTTGACCCAGTCTCCTTCCCTCCTCGCTGGCTGCCCAGGCATCAGGGGAAGTCATCGCTGCCGGCACCCCTGTCGACGTCACAGTCCTACGACCACATCCGAGGCGATGCGGCTTTTGACAACCCCACGTATGAGACTCGAGTAAGTGGGTGCCCCTCCCTTTCCCAGATGTGCCAGAGAAGGAGACAGCAGGGCCAATGGAGTGGGGTAGAGGGTGTTATATAATAATAATAATAATAATAATAATAATAATAATAATAATAATAATAATAATAATAATAAT